TGATTTAATCTTTGGTCTATTATTCTCTGACTTTGGGGTGAGAAACATCTGCTGCTCAGTCTCTTATGTGACTGTTTGTAGTTGATACCAAAGGTACTTAGAGCCATTTTTGTGAATTTTAAATCTCAAGAACTATATGGGTTTGTCTTTTATTATTTTGTACAATTGTCTTTGTTTGGCTGCATGACCTAGCATCTCAGCCTTGCACGTTATTTTCTTGTAGTAACTGAACAACATGAAGAGAACTTAAATGTAAAATTGTGTGTGACTAACCTTAGCGATGGTGTGCTTCAACTGAACTTTCTAAATGTGAGGGAAGAGGTGCTTGCCCTTTGCCTTTTTCACACTTGATGTGTAAATGTCATTCTCTCCATTTATGGGCATGCCAGAGTTGATAGAATATAGCATGTAAGACATTTTTTTACACATTTTGAGGGAGTGATAGTTATTTTCTACCATCTGCATCCAAACTCCTAAAATAAACATATACATTTCAAAATTGTCATTCTCTGACATATCAAGTCAATTATATATTTAAACTCTGGGGTTCCTGGATTTAAAATGGGTCTCAGAAACTAGAGACCAAATTGTGCCAATATGGGGCTGTTGCATGTTGTTGGCAGTGCTGAGCTTCGTCATCCCCGGGAAACTCTGGGTGGGGGAAGATATCATCTCTCTTTCAGGTCCCTTGTGAGCAGGAGGAGTGCACGTCCCTTGGAATGGCGCAGCCTGCCCCAACCCCATGTGTGCTTAGCCAATTTCAGGGTGAAAGTGGGATAGAGGGAGCAAGACCCCTTCCTGTTGTATGGGGGCACACAGATGGAACACGTCCTGCACGCTCCTGAGCACAGGGCTGCTATTGTGTCTGATGGGAGGAATAATAGGGTGAAGTCTGCTTTTGCTCTTGTTCTCTCAACACCCATTCGAAGACCAGATACAGTGGAAGGGAGATGTGGAGTAATGTTTACTTACTGCATCAAATCAGTTTTACCCAGTGTCCATTGCAAGTCAATAGCATTCTCTCCGGCGTCCTACTTAACACTGTAGGACATAAAAAAACCGAGGAGTCCTTGTGGCACCTTAGAGACTAACTCCTCATTGTTTTTGCTGATACAGACTAACATGGCTACCACTCTGAAAACTGTAGGATATGTACTCCATGATCAGCAAGATGTTATAAAGGAGTTGTAGATATACCCCTTTGCACATCATGATAAAAATGTGTTCCCCAGACTTCCATCAAAACTCTGAGTTGTCAGTGATATCTCTGATTATTTAGTTCAGTCATATTCATTTTGTTGAGTTACACTATATCTAAAAAATTTTGAAAGGCAAGTATGTACAGCTGCTCTTTTGGGGAGTCAAGTGCTGGGAAACAAAATGTTGCTTGCGTGAGACTCTCTGAAACACAGCAGAGGTTGGAAACAGCATTCTCAACCTCCACACATCTTTCTAATTCAGAACACACATGCAGCCTTGCTATGTGCGGCTACTGGGTTTTGGGAAGTAGCCAACAAGGTCAGCCCTCAGCTCTTATGCTAATTTTGCATGATGTGGATTTGTGTTGTGCATGCTCCAAACATATACACATTTTCCCTTTTCTCTGATGCCTTGTGGAGAGCTCATTTACGGTATGGAATGGACGTACAGCATTTCTCTGTATGAACTCCCTATTGTTTTGGCCACCGGTGCAGCAGGAATGCTGAGATTCTCTTAGCTTTGGCCCTAACATGCAACGTAAGAAAGTTCAGAATTTGGCTTTTCTCTTTCAGAGCTAGCTCCACAGATCATCCAACCTGATCTATGCCTAAAACTTGAGTCAACCTAGCTACATCACTCAGGAGTATGAAATACTATAGACCCTGCTAGGCCTAGCTACTGCCTCTTGAGAGGGTGGAGTTGCTACATTAACAGAATAACACCTTCTCTTGCTATAGCAAGTGTCTTCATTACACTGCTATAGCAGTGTGGCTGAAGCTGTGCCACTGTAGTGTTTGTAGTGTAGATATAGCCTCAGTGTTGTCATCTGTCGGTAACTGTAGGGGACAGAATCAGAACTGATGGATAGCTGCTGAGGGACTAGCCCCACCTTCCAGAGATTCCCTCAGTTGTGTTCTATGTCCTGTAGCTACTGGCAGGGCAGTGGAATCCAGCACCTCCTGCAAGAGAGAATTAAAATAAAACTGCAGAAGTGATTTGTGTTCTGTCTGGAATTACCACAGCACCTGCTCAGGTAACAGACTAGAAGGATGGTGGAGAAAGGTCCAAAGTGGATACCAAGACAGCGTCCCTCGGTTGCCCTGGAATTTGCAGCTGTTAAAGTTATTTAACACTCTGCCTGTAGCTCCATCAGATGTTTGCTCTTTTTTTTAACTATTAGGTATAACTATGATTCCCTTCTCCGGTTTCCTAAATAAATAAGTACTAGTTAGTAATTGGAAATCCCCTTAAAGGGCCAGTTGAGCAAAGCACTTTAGCACTCAACTAACTTCAAGTGTGTGCATGCCAACTGGAGTCCTTACTCACATGCTTCCTTTTAAGACTCCTCACATTTCCCACATGCTGAAGAGTTTGGCTGAACTGGGGCCAGGGCCCAAAAGGATAAAATATTAGAGCCAGTAAAAAAAAAAAAAAAGTAAATTTAGATTTTTTTCATTGAGAAAAGGGACAGCTGTTTTGTGAAAATTTTAATGAAAAATGTCCCCATGTTCAGTATGAACTCTTTTTTAACCTGCCCTGTCCAAAATTTGAACTAGGAGCCTAGATAAAGGAGGACTCATATTTGTTCACTGAATTATTATTTGCTTGTATTGCTGTAGTCATGGACCAGGATCCCATGGTGGTAGGTGTTGTACACAGAACAATAAGACAGTTCCTGACCCCAAAGTTCTAAGTAATCATTGTGCTGGCTTACATATATATTTGAACCCAGCACTGCTATTAGAATTGGTTCAGAAAACCATGCAATGAAATTGTTACTAGCTCAGTATATTTCTTTTATTCTCTGGAATCTGCAGCTGTTCATTACCCAATTATGAAGTCTAACTCAATGATTTTCTTCGTGGTTGAATTAACCCACTTCTAAGCCTGTTACCATGTTTCCTCCTTCCTTGATCTGATGTAACTGCTCTCGGGATGTCATGGAAAAGGAAATTTCAAAGGCACTAGTTATAATACTTAGACCTGACTGACCTTTTCCAAACACAAGGCAGTCAGAATGGGAAACATGAGCTGTTACCATTTTATAGAGTGTAATCACAATCCTATAGATTTTGGTCATTCTTTCAAGCAGTTACTGACTTTTTAAGCTCTTTAACTTTCATGGTTCTGTGGTGGTTTATAAATATGTATATTTCACCAGCACAAACAAACCCAATGTCCCATGAGCATCATCATTGCGAGTGGGTGACAGTTATTGAGTGAGGGGGAAATCTTCCACATGAATAAAACAATTCTACATTATATAGTGCTTCAGGAAATGTTATTTGTAGCATTTATTGCAGTAGTCTTCACTTTTAAAGAATTGATAATAGTGCTAGTCTGTTTTGTAAGACACAGTTCTTTTCACCTTTTTGTAGCTTTTATTGGTGTTCATCATACAGAAGGTTTTGATCCTCATTTAATCCAAATTATGCCTGCTGTTTTTTTGAGTTAGAATTTCACGACTGAACTGAACTTTACTTACAAAGAGCAGATTTTATTAGATATGTTTGTTTAATTTTGTTTGTTTCAGTCTAGTTATTTATTTTATGTGTTTAGTGCTGTACAAATAAAAGATGTTTCGGTTCACTAGCAATTCTGGGGGGAAAAAAATGAGGGTTGAACAAAACATTTTGTTAGATCCCAAATGAAACGTTTTGTATTGATTTTGAGAGCTTTTTAATGTTTTACATGTCCAAAAAAAGAAGGAAATTTTGAAATGGAATTTCTGAATGTTTTTGTTTTGACATTTTTGTGGTTTTTGTTTTTCACATAAACAATTTGGCAAAACATTTCAGTGTTGTCATATCGGCCATTTTTTTGCGCTCTCTTTTTTCAGCTGAAATTTTTTCCCCAGTTCTCCATGTGATGTTTTAAAGATGGGATTTTCAAAAGAGACGTAAGAGCCCAAATCCAATTGAAATTCAGTGTTCCATCCTTACTCCTCTAGGGGTGCAGGATCCACCCCAACATGATACCAATATGCACAGTATCCCATATGATTGCAATGGAAACTTTTTAAATATGAAGTAGATGTAAACCAATGTAATCATATCTGCCTTAGTCTGTGGACATCCTGAAAGACTATGAACTTTCCCATTCATCTCAGTGAAGCAATAACTGTGAAATCTGATGATAATTTAAATGTCAACATTAACTATTTTGCTGCTGATTATTTTAGCAGAAACATCAAGCTAATGTGTTTGTGTGTCAGGTTTGGGAGGCAAAGGCAGACACTGGGATGGAATACAATGGGGAAGCTTGTGCTGGAGTGAAAATTCAAACGCCCGCTCTATATGTTTTAAGTTACCTCTACGTTTGGGGGACAAGGAAAGAGGAGGTGCATCCCTTCCTCCTCAGCTATCTCCTGGGTTCCAAAATAATTCCCCCACCTTCTTGGATGCCAAAAATTACAGTTCTCCCCTATCTAGTTACCAAAACCCTGCAGCTTTTCTTTGACTACTACAGTGTTGCTTTTCATATTTTCAATACCAGAATCTGCAGCACACTGCAATTCTGGGGCATTGTAATATAAGTTAAGTGGATTCACAGAGAGAACTTGTATTAAAGGAGCTGAACTGAGTGGAAGAGTAGTATGCATAATTTTCAAGTTATTGATATGTGCAACCTTGATTACTTGGCTATCACTTTATTTCAAAGACATATTTTGCATTAATTTCAGCTTCCAGTTCTGTTTAGTTTTTCACACTGAGATTATTGCTAGGTAAATGAGATTTTTTTTTTCAGAAGAACAAGAGAAATAAGTTCTAAAAGGATGAAATAGTTTTTTTATTTTATAGCCGGTCATAGGTGTGAAAGGGAGGATGGAAGACAGGGTCCTACGCAGAAAGCTGTTCAAGAAAACAGGGAACAAAAATATCTGTATGCTGGTGTTGCTCCATATGATCCCGCCAACGATCCAACAAAGCAGATGGGCAAGAGGTATTCAAAGGTATGAAACTCTCATTGAATCTAAGCCAATCTTCTGTGTTTTACTAAGTTAGCAGGAAAGATAGTGAGTCAATGTACCTGAGAGCAGAGTCTGGCTCTATATTCTCACATGTTCAGATAATGTATGTAGGGTAAACATCTAACCATTAAAGAGCTCTTGAGTTTGTATCTTTCTAGCTTGATTATCTGAACAGAATAGTTCAGACAATTGAATGGAGTTGTAAGAATACACAGTAGTAGTGAGGCTGGATCGGAAGTCCTGCCTCAGGAGCCCAACCACTGGATGGGTGACAGTGAGTGAGTGCACTAGGATAGGGAGCGCACAGAAGCTGCACTAGAGTTCAAAACTCTTAAGCAGAAGTTCTGACTGCAGTCTTACTTCTCTGTATCACATGCTCTTAGTAGGAACCCTGGCCCATACCGTAGGGCTTATAAACTTTGCAAGAGTTTCAGCTCTGTTCATTTTGTGCCTTCAGAGGTCAGAAACACCAGAGTTGTTGTTCCAGGTATCGGCCTACAGAGAGGGCACAGGACCGTGCGGGGAATGGAAAAATCTGATTGCTTATTTCTGGTCAGCTAAGGCGTCCAAGCTGGTGTCCAACGAGATATGCGGTTGCCCCCGTTTGCACGCTGTGGTCTCATTCTCCCAAATAATTTAAAACAAAGTTTTGTTGCTTATTTTGCTGTGTTTGTCTAAGAGGATTTCTTCAGATTTTCCTTGTTTTGCTTAGATTATTTTGCTGGGGTTTCTCATTTTTAGTCTTTTGATTTTAATGTGTTTTAATTTCACTTGATTTTATGTGGAGGGTTTTGTCCCCACTTTAATATAAACTAAAATACTATGGTCAGCACCAGTCTGAGACTGAGGTCACAGCTGGGGGACCATACAATTATTTCTTTCCCCCAAATTAAAGTAAAAATTCTAATAGCTAAAACTCTGTGAGGCTCTAAAATTGCTACAGCAGCCTACTCTTGCTTGGCTGGAAGCAACTGTTGGAGCCTTGGGAGAGAGAAGCTTTTGACTACCTGAATGTAGCTGGAAACTCCAGCCCCAGTCTTGTCCCTCTCTGTCTCTGCAGACTTCTGATTAAGCTTGCATAGCAGTGCATTCCTTGCATGGTTCCATCTCTTATTCTGCAAAGACATTGCTTCTGTGGTTGTCATCAGCGAGGTCCCTCCCCTCTGACTACTGCTTAGTTCTATTTTTCTGCTCCTTCCCTCCTCTTTCTACCCCTTCCTCTGGGTAACAGCCCAGTTCTATTGCTCTATTCAGTCCTTCTCCTCACTGTATACCTGAGGTCAGTTCTGGCCTGTCTCCCTTCCCATTGTCATCTGAATACTGCTGTGCCTCATGCCACGCTCAGCCCATCCCCATTCTCCTTTGATGAACCTTTCCAGTGGTCAGGAAATTTAACCCTTTAACTTACCTAGAAAGCACTTGTATTTATCTCTGGCTACTGAGCAACTGTATTTTTCTCAGCCCGGCAAGTCAGAGATACGTGAACTCCACAGAGCACTGGGATAAAGAAATCCTGACCCTACTTAAGTGAAGGGAGTTTTACTATTGACTTCAGTGGGGCCAACATTTCAGCCTTGGAAATTATAAGCTCTCTTCTCTTATTACATTTATAAATGCTAATTGACTGGATCTGGCAGGATTCTCTGCTGCAATGGATTTTATAAGCCCCAGGTGAGTCCTATCCAGGTAACCTGAAGTCTTTTTTGGCTCATGGAGTTAGTTTAGAAAACTAGAGAATAAGTCCCAGAGTAGTCTACTAAATATTCTAGGAACAGTCAAGTGTACTACTTGTTGAAGTGACAAAATAAACCAAATCTGGCATTATAGGAAAGGAAGTTTAGACATTTTTTTCCAAGAGTGAAAAATCTCTGATTTTAAAAAATATCTCATCTTATGAATATATTGTTCCGAAACATTTCCTTTGGCAGAAAAGCATGCACAAGAAACTATAGGTGCATTAGTTTATTTTTGGCCAAGTTGGAGATGGTAGGGGAAAGCCAAAATCAGGTTTAAAACAAAAAGCTGGTGATATCAGAGAGCTATTTATACCAGACTACCGTCTCTCCCTAATAACTTCTGTCCTGTAATTCTCCTCCCCCGTATCTACTGAAGTACAATTCTACTTTGAGAAGTGATTCTGAAAATTATTCTTTTACTAAGCTCCCTAGGTGCCTGCTCTAGTGGGAAAGATTAGACTATGATTGACTTCTTTATCCCTGTTAGATCTCCACTATAATGATGATAGGGATCAGACCAGTGGAGGTTGCCTCCGTTGCGTTGTTTGCAGCAGAAAAGCTTGGTAAAACATGCCAGATCTTAAACAGATTGGTCCCTCACTTAGTCATGGTCTGTTTGTGACATTGCAATTTATGCTGAAGATAGTGTCACAGATAACGTGATGGGCCTGATTCTTATTTATCCCTTTTTAAGTGCTCTTGTGGTATAAAGGGAATTTAAGTGGAGGTAAATTAAAGTTACACTCACTGTAAAGCCCCTTTACACTATTCTGGATGTGTAAAGGGGTCTTAGTGTAAATACAGATCAGGCCTCGTGAATTCAGGAGAGGAGTAAGCAGCAGGGACCAATAAAATGTAATAATCCTGTCCTTTATAATGAAATAGGAGAAGAGACATAAAAGAAACCATGTGAAATATAAATAGAATTGACTGTAAAAATCATGCTTTCCATAGCTTTTCAGGAGGGCTCAGAGTGTTTAAATCTTAGCAGAAGTCAGAGACAGTGAACTGTTCATCTACTCTTAGTAAGAGATCTTATTCTTCAAAGGATAGCCACCTGGATTACATTATTACTAGAAAAAAAACCACAGAAAAACACTCGGGAAGTGTCTTTGGTACATGGCAAAAATTAGAAAATGTTTGTATTAAATTTACTATTCAAACATGAATGAGCTCTAACAATTAAAGTGTTTTTAAATCTTTTGAGAACACTGTGGTCCAACCATCTGCTGGTTTGATTTGCTCAGTGTCAACTAGCTACAAATATGGCCAGTAGCTGAGTTATCAAGTTTTCTCCAAGGACAGTCAAACACTTCAGTATCCCAATGTCTTATAAGAGCTGACGTTTAATTTAAAACCCAAAGTGTCTTTGTTATAAAACCTACAATAACAGTGAAAAAGCAGCAAGGGATTTCTGTCCAGGGAATGGATATTCCTGGTTCCAAAAGCTTTGTTTCAAGACTTAATTAGGTCATAAAATAACAGATGAGGAAACAATAATATCAAAATCTCTACTCTGTAATTTTCCTATATCAATTGCATCAATACCTCATAGGTTAAGCATTTGAATCTAATACTCCATAAGACATTTACTTGAATGAAAAAACTCTTACAGCTCAGACAACCTTTGATAATATGATTGTCTGTATATATTTGGAGTAGATTTTTATTGATTTTCTTTTTCTTTTTTTTCTTATTAATTTATGTCAGATTTCAGATAGAGTGCACTTCATAGTTGAAGATTTTGTGTGTGTGTGTTTTTTTTTAATTAGAGCAGTTTCCACTTGTCATGTGTTATATGTATTCTGGCAGTAATTTATTGTAAGGTGTAATTTCATTCTCTAAAGTTTTTATTAGGTGCAAAACTTTATTGAAAGATGCATTGTAAAGGTCTGGGGCTGAGATATTTTCTACCAATGTGGAATAGAGGTTGAAAATGATGATGGCAAATGACATTTAAAAAATCGGTTTACAGAAATAAAATGCAATACTGATAGAAATAACAGCTCTGGTAATTATTAGGTCTGTATCTCTTGATAAGATCACATGTGCGTGCATGTATGTAAGAAGTCTGAGCTGCTTCTTAGAACTGAAAAGCTCTTTGGAAAAGGTACAAAAAATAGAGTGAAAAAACTAAGACCCTGATCCTGCAACATGTACGTAAATCAATAACTCTCTAGGCCTAGATCTTTAGCTGATATAAATTAGTACAGCTCCATTGACTTCAGTGGAGCTATGCCAGTTTCCACCAGCTTAGGATCTGGTCCCTTGAGTTCAATTCAGATGCCTATAGTTACCAATATGCACATGTATTTGCAGGAGTGGGACATCAGACTTTTAAAACCTGTTTCTGTGACTCATGTAGGTGTTGCTACATAGTAACCTTATAAATAATTCTTATCTTTACTGAAATATTCAAGGCATAATAAATTAATGGAGCAACAAAAAACCTTCTTTATTGCAAAATAAAAAGTTGTTTTTCCAAAGGAATTTACACAGCACCTGTGGTATTCTTTTATATAAGAATTGTATTTCAACGATATTATCATATTCCCCTCTGTCTCTGCTCTGAGATACCATTTAGTGGGCTTAGGAAGAATTCCTATCTCCTGCTTCCCACCAGGGGATGTTCATACCACTCACATCTCTCTCCTCAATAACGTAAAGCTATTATTGCGTTTCTGCAAATGTAGGCATCAAGAGCCTGATCTACCACCCACTGAAGTCAATAGATGTCTTTCCATTGATTTTAATGGGCTTTGAAGCTGGACTCAAGAGAGTCTCTGCCACCATCCTGAGGTTAGGAGAAGGAGATCCTTTGTGAGGTAAACCCTCTCTTTTGCAACTCCAGTTATAGTGATTTGGGAGAAACTAATACTGTAGGAGGGTTCCCCTGCATTTTCCTTGGAATGAATGCGTGCTATATTCTGTTTGTAGTGGCTGATGGTGGCCTCATTCTTAGGATATACAGTGGGCCTTTTCCATGTAAGAGAGAAATTAAAACCAAAAATAGAAATAGAAGATTATTCTTTAAGTAGTGTCCCTGTGGGTGCTCCACTGTAGGTGTATGTGCGCCCCAGTGCCTCTAATCGGAGATTTTTGGTAGCAGTGTCTGTTGAGCCCACACATGCGTTCTCCCTCCCTCATGGTCTGCTTCGAGGCTATCTAGCACTGCGCAGGTGACCCACCCCCCTCAGTTCCTTCTCAAACTTCTTTGGCCTCGAGAGCAAGCAGTCGTCCCTTCCT